CCCTGTATGTCTGTGAGTGTGTGCCTGAGTGTTTGTGTCTGTCAGTGACTGAATATGTGTCTGACAGTGAGTGTGTGTGTGTCTGTAAGTGAGTGTGTGTCTGTCAGTGAGTAAGTGTATGTCTGTGAGTGTGTGCCTGAGTGTTTGTGTCTGTCAGTGACTGAATATGTGTCTGACAGTGAGTGTGTGTGTGTCTGTAAGTGAGTGTGTGTCTGTCAGTGTGTGTGCTCGTCTATGCTAGTCCTATTATAAATTAAATTCACAAAATGCATTGAATACATCATTTATAACAGCGATAAATTATGTATTCAATGTACAGTGTATGTAATAGGCAGTATGTGTGTATGGATGTACGCATTATGTGTGTATAGATGTAGATACTAGGCAGTATGTGTGTATGGATGTACACATTAAGCAGTATGTGTGTCTGGATATAGGTATTAGGCAGTATGTGTGTATGGATGTATGTATTAGGCAGTATGTGTGTATGGATGCATGTATTAGGCAGTATTTGTGTATGGATGTACGCATTAAACAGTATGTTAATGAATCCTCCTCTCTTGCTCTCCCTTCAGATCGGTGGTACCCATATCAGCCCATCCTTACATATAAGTAACACCAAGCACGTTGTCTTGGTGTTACTTTTGATTCAGGCTTCACCTTTGACCCTCACATCCAATCTGTTGTCAAATCATGCCAATTCCACCTTAAAAACATTGCCAGCATCCGCCCCTTTCTTACACAAGATGCTACTACAGAGCTTGTCCATGCTCTAGTAATCTCTCGCATGGACTATTGTAACTCTCTCCTAATTGGTCTTCCCAATAGTCGTATTGCCCCGCTACAGTCTGTAATGAATGCTGCCGCCAGACTGATTTTCCTCTCTAGTCGGTCCTCTCACACCTCACCCCTCTGTCAGTCCTTACATTGGATTCCTGTAAACTATAGGAGTCAATTCAAAGTGCTAACCCATACCTATAAAGCACTGAACAATCTTAGCCCCTCTTATATCTCCTCACAGATCCACAGGTATGCTCCTTCTCGGTCTCTCTGCTCTACCCGTGACCTTCTCCTGTCCGCTGCTCGCACCCGTACGGCCAACTCGCGCTTGCAGGACTTCTCGCGGGCGGCTCCTATCGGATAGCCTGCCTATCGCCATCAGACTCTCCCCTAGTCTTTTTTTTTTTTTTACGAATTCTTTACATTTTTTTTTTTGTTAATCTGTTTTTTTCGAGTTTTATCAAGCCAGTGGAGCATATTATTGGCACGCAGGCCCAACTCAGCAGAATTGCATAAAATAGTGACAACATAGAAACAGTGTTTATACACATTTTGAACATATTTGTATATCATAATATCTTATTCCGTTATTCTTATATATCTTATTCCGTTATCAGTTTACATTCTGTGACAATATGTAAAGTCGTCTTATCTATTGATAGTCATGGAGCCGCAACTACAGTAAAATTTGTCAATGTTGGTAAAGAAAGATTGTATGTAGGATTGTTTGGTGATTTCCTGAGGTGAACAGGTGTGTGTCGTGGCGTGATACCAGTGTTGCGAGAGACTAGGAGTATTGGGGGTGGGGGAAGGGGTTGGGGTTTTTTTATGGTTGTGAGGGCCTGGGCATGGTGTGGGGTGTACTCTGTCCGGGTTCCTGGATCCCACCCTCCTCTCTTGCCCTTCTTTATGGTTGGACCAGTTTGTCGGTACTCCCGTACTGAGTGGAGTTAATTATGAGTGATTCTATAGTTTAGTGTGATGCGTAAGCTGTATCCCCATTACGATGTAGTATCGTCAGGTGTCAGCGTGTCTGGGTCTGCGAATAGGGAATGCAGTGGGATTTTATTTTTTTTTTTGCCTTATGTAGGTGGGGTGGGTGGGTATGAGAAGTCCGGGAGGAGGGTAAGGAGGTAATGTGTGTGGGAGCGTGTGTGGGGAGGGGGGTGTGGAATCCTCCTGCCGCCGTACACGTTCATAGACTAGATACCGGTTTACCAGTTCTGTTCCCGTCATGTGTCCTTTCGGTGTCGTGCCTAACCTCTTGAGTTATATTGTTTCGAGTCAAGGTAAGTTCTGGTTTGGGCAGTGGAGTGTTCGTCAGTTGCCCTTCAAAATTTTGTTTGTGTTGTAAATATCGGTTTCTATCAGCCCTATCTCTTTTAATCTGCGGAGGTGATGTGACTTACGATCCTAGGGACCAGTGTGTAAGCATGGTGTTCCTCCTCCCCCCTTTATAGGTACAAGCAGTGGTATCCCATTCAGTCGTGGGAGTCATTCCTGTTCGTGAATGTGTCTCATGCGCGTCTGTGGGGTCATCTGCTTGTCTTGTCGAATTGTGTCCCTTCATCTTCCCCGTTCGCATGGATGGGACATGGGACACGTCGTCAGTGCCTGTTACCTATAAGGGGACAATGTTGGATGCGTCTTGTGTGAAGGCAGGCCACGGGACCTGTGTTTTCGGTCAGCCCCGGTTCCCCGCCAGCACCCCCCTATCGCTGCGCGCGAAATGTGAACCACGGAGCCCAAAGCTCCGCACATCTCACCCCCCTGCCCGTCTGTTCAGCCTGCAGGGCTTCGGCTGCTCTGATGTCTTCCACTCGGTGGATCCATTCCTCCCGAGTGGGGATGTCTAATTTCTTCCAGTATACAGGTATGAGTGCTTTTGCAGCGTTCAGTAGATGACGTAAGATGGATTTTTTATATTCGGATAGTGAATGCTGTGAGATGTGTAATAAAATTAATTCCTTTGACCAAGCCACGTCATTCCCCAGAATCTGTTGAATGTCGGTTTTGATTTGGTCCCAGAATGGGACAATATGTGAGCACTCCCACCATATGTGTAGGAGAGTCCCCCTCTCGTCCTGGCATCTCCAGCACGTTGGAGTGGTATCGGGGAATATATGGTGGAGCAGTACTGGGGTTCTATACCACATGGAAAGTATCTTATAGTTCACCTCCTGATAGCGGGAGCTAGAGGAGCTCTTATGTTGCCAAATCAAGGCTTTGTCCCATTGCGCGGTAGTAAATGTTGTGTCCATGGCTCGTTCCCAGCGGTGTTTGAAAGTGTTATTTTCGGAGTTCGGATTGATTAGTAAGTGTTGGTAAAGGAGCGAGATGGCTTTTCCAAGTGATGCGCCTCGGTGACATAGGGCTTCAAACCACGTCAGGTCTCTATGTAATTTTTCCCGGTGTGGGAGGGAGTTGTAGTAGTGTTGTAGTTGCATGTACCTAAAGGTCGCCATTGGAGATCGTGGTCGCGCCTCCAGAAGCGCGTCTAAAGTCTTCAGATTGCCGTCCTGTGTGACCTTGCATATCGGTATATAGTCTATATCGCCTAGGAATGTCCAGGCTTCAGTTGGCGTTCCGCCCCCAATATTGGGATTGTGCGGGATCGGGAGTAGGGGGCAGGGGGATGGGGAGACTTGTGGCAGCTCCCTAATGTTTTCCCAGGAGAGTAGAGTCTGTGCTACGGGTCCTTCCTCGTTCCTTCTGCTGCCTCTGGTTGTTCGTCGCATCCATACCATCGCTTTTAATTTTGCCGCTTCTCCCTCTCGGTCCAGTGCAACCCATTGTTTGATAGCGTCCAGTTCATGCCACTCAAGGATTCGTTGTAACGTCGCCGCTTGATGGTATTTCTTAAAATCTGGTAAAGCCAGACCACCCCTATGTCAAGGCATACACAGTATGTTGTGTCGCAGCCTGGAGCGGTCCCCTCTCCAAACATATTTTATGACTGCCGATTTCAGTGTCGAAAAGAATGAGGTCGGTAGGGCTGTTGGTATAGTCTGAAACAGGTAAAGAACCCTAGGGAGGATATTCATTTTAAGGACCGCAATGCGGCCGTGCCAAGTGATGTGTGGGTAGGACCATCGTGCCAAGTCTGCTTCAATGTTTCGTAGTAATGTCACGAAGTTACGTTGGTAGATGTCTTGGGGATTCGTGGGGATCCAGATGCCGAGATATTTCATAGCCCCTGTACACCAACGAAACGGAAAAAGTAGGCTAAGAGTATTATATTCCTCCGCGGGTATGGTGACGTTCAATGTTTCACATTTCACCAAGTTGAGTTTAAACCCTGAAAGTTGACCAAACCTGTCTATCTCGGATAGTAAACATGGCAGTGTGGTTCGGGGCTGGGAAAGAAAAAATAGAAGATCATCCGCGTACGCGGCCACCTTGTGCTCTACGTCTTGCCACAGGTAGCCCCGGATGTCGTGGTTGTCTTGTATAGCTTGTAGGAACGGCTCCAGGGAGAGTGCAAATAGGAGTGGGGACAGGGGACATCCCTGTCTGGTCCCACTTGCAATTCCAAAGCTTGTAGTAAGCCCCCCATTAACGCGGACTGCTGCCTTCGGTGTGCTGTACAGAGCTGTAATCCAAGCCATGACTCTCTGCCCGAAGCCCATCCACCGTAGTGTTCGGAACATGTATTCCCAATTGAGCCGGTCAAATGCTTTCTCTGCATCTGTGGACAGTAACAGAAGGCGTTTCTGATATTTCCGTGCGTGATGTTGTATTGAAAATAGGCGAAGTGTACTGTCCCGAGCCTCCCTGCCTGGGACAAATCTCGTTTGGTCAGCATGAACAAGGGTCGGTAGGATCCGTTGGAGTCTGGTCGCCAGCACCTTTGTTAGCAGCTTCGTGTCCACATTCAGCAGAGAGATCGGGCGATAGCTGTAGCATTGTTCTGGGTCTTTCCCGGGTTTGAGCAAGACTGTTATGGTTGCTGTCAGGGATTCCCCACTAAAGTGTCCTCCTTCCGACACTGCGTTAACGGCCTTTGTCAACCATGGTAGCAATGTCGTGGCGAACATTTTATAGTATCCCGTGGAGAATCCGTCCGGTCCTGGGGCGCGTCCTGCTTTCGTATTTTTTAAAGCCGCTGCTAGATCTTCCGTGGCAATCGGTTCGTCGAGCACAGATGCCGCTGCCGGGTCTATATGATTCCTTATGGTATCCTGAAGATACATTCGAATGTTAGGTGATACATCCCTCTCTCATGTCAGGGCCTCTGGGTGAGGAAGGTTGTATAGGGAGCGATAGTAAGTTCGAAATTCCTCCGCTATTTCTTCTGGGTGTGGGGATACCTTACCCGACGATAGGTGTAGTTTTTGCACTTGCATGCGTGGTGTATCCCCTTTCAAGAGGCGAGCGAGGACTTTCCCGCCTTTGTTGGCATGTGTGTAAAAGAAGTTTTTTGAGCGTTGGAGCGAACGATGATACCTTTTCGTGATGAGGGCCGTCAGGTTACGTCTAGCTTCCATCAATGCACTGTATGTTTCATTCAATTGCGACCTTTTGTGTTGAAGTTCCAGCTTTTTGATGGTGTCATATAGGTCCGCCATCGCGTGAGTTGCTTCTTTTCTTTTGCGGGTTGCGAGATTAATAATAATGCCGCGCAGTACACTCTTGTGCGCTTCCCATATCGTTATTGGTGTCATCCCCTACGTATCGTTTTCCGCGAAGTATGTTTCCATCGCCTGAGAGATCTCTTCTTTCACTGTTGGGTCTTGGAGCAGGGATTCATTCAATCGCCATGACCATGTTGTTGGCTTAAATAATGGGGACTCCAACTCAATTCGAACTGGTCCGTGATCCGACCAAGTGGAAGGTTCAATGGTCGCCGTTCGCAGGCGGGATAATCCTCCTTGCTTAATGAACACATAGTCTATTCGAGAATAACGGTTGTGTAATACCGAGTAATGTGTGAAATCCTTGTCCGTTGGGTGAAGTGCCCTCCAGCAGTCCACCAGCGACAGTTCCCCCAATGCTTTGCGAATAGATCTAATGCGAGATTGTGAGATGCAGCTGTGGCCTGTGGAGGAGTCCAAGAGGGGGTCCAGTGGGGCGTTGAAGTCTCCTCCAACGATCAGAGCTCCCTCCGAGAATCCATTTAGTTTGTTCACCATTCCTCGTAAGAATTGTGCTTGGTTCGAATTGGGGACGTACACGGTCACTAGGGTATATATCCTGTCCGCTATTAATCCTTTTAGAAAGAGAAAGCAGCCTTGATCATCGGTTAGTCTATCTAGTTCGCGGAAACCAAGGTCCGCAGCAATCAAAATAGCTACTCCCGCTCGACGGGCGGTCGGGTGGTTATTGCAATAACTCAGCGGGAAGCGGGTGTTTCTGAGTTTGGGGGCAGCCCCTTCTTTAAAATGAGTCTCTTGAAGCATTGCTATTTTTATGTGTCTGCTGTGGAGGCCCCTTAGTAAGTGTGAGCGGCGTTCCGGATAATTTAAGCCTCTGCAGTTAAGGGTTATGACGGGCAGGGGGGCGCGACCGTACGCCATGGGTCGCAGCTATTCGCGCGAGGCAGCGAGGGGTGCGCCCGTGCGGAGACGCGGGTCAGACCTACCGTGTAGACCCTATGGGTCAACTCTCTACCAAGGGTGTTCTCCCGAATGATTCAAGTGGTGATTATGTAGGGCTACGTATGTATATATATACCGGGGTGTCCTGTCAGTTCCGACTGTCATCGGGCGTCTACGTGGGTGTCACCTCATCGAATCTGCGTCAAGCCTGAACGTGTACCGCGGTTGTCGGAGGAAGTGTGCGTGTGGTTCGGTGTATGTGTGTGTTCGTGAGTGGGATTAACATAAATAGCTGAAGTTGCAAATGGTGCTCTTAGTTAAAGTTAAAATGGGGTGTGGACCGTATGGGCCACCCCCTTGGGGTTGTTCCCAGCGGGGTGAGGGAAGGTGATCACCCCGAATTCTCCTCAGAGGGAGGTTCACTTGCGTCTCAACCGGAGTGACCAGGAACTGCCCCGATCTTCAGATCGGTATGTGGACAGGCCTGTGGCTCCGCCGAGAAAGTCACGCAAGTGAATGTGTAGAGACTAAACCAGGAGAGGGACAGTATAAGGAAGTGTCCTGCTCCAACCGGGTCCCAGCCCAAGTGTGTGTAGTCAGGTGGGACGTAAATAAGTGAAGCAGCAAACAATGTGGAAAACAACCAAATAACAAGCCATAGGCTAATTCCTAAACATTAATAACAGTAAAAATTTTTTGCAATTTTCGCCATCCCTTCGTGTGTCCCCCAAAGGTGGATCTACCCTGTATCCTGGCGTCGTCCCCATGGAGCGTACATACCCCTATGTTGACCGTTAGGAATCATAAAGCTAAAGTAGAGATCTAGGTATGCCCAGTCAATACATTGTATTATTGGTCTCCACGCCCCTTGTCAGCTCAATATGGCCAGGTCCGTGCATGGGTGGGTCTCTGTCTGCGTCCCGTGGACCTCTCGGGTATGGGAACCTCCCTGTGGCAACTGTGAGTGCAAACAATCTTTCCTCGGCTTCCTCCCCTTTTTTTTTTTTTTTTTTTTTTTTTTTTTTTTTTTTTGGGGGGGGGGGGTTCGTCTAGGTAACATACAGATCGTGGCTGATTGTGTCAGGGGAAGTGTCGTCTCTAGTCCCCATCCCTATTCTCATGTCTGTCCCGACCCTATTCCGTGCCTCTGTCAACCCACCCACCCCCTGCACCACCGCCACTGCAGTCCCAAAAGCTCCCTATTTACCGTCCCAGGATGTCCCACAACATAACAAGCAAATGCGTATGTATGATATATTATGCTAAACAACACATCAGGTGATCTTGACGTCATATGTCAATGGAGGTTACTTATCAGGTTGGGGAGAGTCCCGGTATCCAATGTTCCAGCGAGGTGAACCGTTTAAGCCCGTTCAAGTTACAGTGTGCGTTGTCCACAAGGGTTGCAGTAGAGGCGGGAGGACACCCAAAGTCATATACTTAAATCCCTCACCCCCCCAGGGTCCCACCACCCAATGAATTGGCCAGGGTTTCCCCGCAGCGTCACCGGAGGGGGAGGGGGTAGTAGCTTAAGTGGTAGGTGAGTCGGTATTGAGGCATAACGTTCTGCCAGGGAGGGAGGGACTGTGTCGGGGAGACACCGTCAGCTAGTGTGTGTCCGGTGCGGGTGTGTCGGGCCAGTATTCATACCTGGAGAAAATGGGTCCATGGTGCAGATAGGAGCGTGACCCTCTCAGGATCCATGCGGTAGTCTCCCAACATTTGTGGTCATGATAGTCAAGAGTGGTGTAAACGGCCAGATGTCAGAGAGGCTAGTGAGCCCAAGAGTATTAGTGTTGCCGGGCCAATGTCATGGTGTCGTCCGAAGAGAGGGGAGGCAGATCCTTCCTGGCGGGTTGACACCTCAGAGCGACGGTTGCTATATTTACATGCCCCGGCGGTGAGGCTGGGGTCCCTGCGGTGACCTTCCTCTGCGGCGACGGGGTGCCCGTTGGGGTCTCTGACCTGCATCTAGCGGTCCCAGGATCCAGTCCGGGACCTGTACCGGTGGCAGTCCCATGTCCTCCAGAAATCTGGGGACTTCCTCTGGCCAGCGGATCGAGGCCCAGCCGTTCTGGTGACGTGCGGAGAGGGCAAATGGAAAGCCCCATTTGTACGGTATCTTGTGTTCCCTGAGGAGCGAGGTAATGGGTCTCGGGGCCCTCCTGGCTTCCAAGGTTACCGGCGACAGGTCATTAAATAGTGTTATGTGTGCCCCTCGGAACTCCCATGTGGGTCGGTCTCTTGCTGCCTTCATTATGGTATTCTTTGTAGTAAAGGAATGCAGGCAGCAGATGATATCTCGGGGGCCGTCTTCAAGCAAGCGTGGCCTCAGGGCTCTATGCGCCCTGTCATATCGAATGTCCAGCGGGTTATCATCAGGCAAAATAAGGTGGAAGAGGGCCGTTAGCATGCCTTCAATGTCCTCCTCGCCCTCCACCTCCGGTATGCCGCGCACTCTGATGTTGCAGCGGCGTCCCCGGTTATCCAGATCTTCTACAGTACGTCTGAGCTGCAGGAGCATATCCCCTTGCCTGGCTAGTGCCGTGTCAGTGGATGCTAACCTGGTGCTGTGGGTCTCGTGGGAGCGTTCCAGCTCCTGCACTCGGAGCCCCTGCGCAGTAACCTCCGACCGGAGTCCAGCCATTTCGGCCCGGAGGGCGTCCTGTATGGTTGTTGTGAGCACCAGGAGGTCAGCTTTCGTGGCCATGGAGGCTGCTATGGCGCGGAGTTCGTCTCCGATGCCATCCAGAGTAGAAGCCTGGGGGGTTTCGGCAGCTGCGGGTGTGGAGGGAGTGGGCGCCATCTTGGATCCCGAGGCCTCACCGCGTGTGTCTGCGGAGCTGTGCAGGAATCCGTCCATTGGACCTTGCTGGTTCGGTTGAGAACCCCTGGGGGTTCCAGTCGGTTCCCCGCGTCGGTTCCGTCCCATCAGGGCTAATTAAAGCAAATTAATAGGGCTTTCTGGGTGCCGGTGGAGCGGAGCGTTCAGTTCAAGCTGCCATCCCGGTCGACGTCCAAGCCACGCCCCCTCTCTCCCCTAGTCTTCAATCGTTTAACAAGTGCCTTAAAATACATTTCTTTAGGAAAGCCTATAGCCTCCCAAACTAACCTCTACGTCACATACCTATCTCTTGCTCTCTCCTTAAGGGCAGCACTCTACTCTCTCCTCCAGCTCTGCTTCACTTCCACCTAATTTGATTGCTATTTCCTGTCCTAATGTGTTTTCTACCCCACCTCCTATAGACTGTAAGCTCGTTTGAGCAGGGCCCTCTTCATCTAATTGTCCTATTTATAGTTAAATCCCCCCTCTAATAATATTGTAAAGCGCTATGGAATCTGTTGGCGCTATATAAATGGCGATAATAATAATAATATGTATGCATGGCTGTAGGTATTAGGCAGTATGTGTGTGTGTGTTGATGCATGTATTAGGCCATCGGTGTCCAACCTTTTGACTTCCCTGGGCTGCATTAAGCGCGGAGGAATTGTCTTGGGCCACACATAAAATCTATAATATAATTATTATATAAGGAGGTGTAGTGAGTGTATATAAGGGTGTGTAGCAAGTGTATATAAGGGGGTGTAGGGTGTGTATATAAGGAGGTGTAGTGAGTGTATATAAGGGGGTGTAGTGCAGTGGTGGATCCAGAGCATGACCTCAGGAGGGGCACTTGCAGATTATTTATTTATTTAGAGAAATAATCCAGACACAATACCCACTACAGCTCAGTGTAGTGGTTATGGTGCCAGTAGTGCCGGGACCCCCTCCCAGAGTAAGTAGTCAAACCGTTTAAGAACAGTTTGACAACTTACCTGAGGTCTGCTTGGAAATGGGGCTGTAGTAGGGCATAGGAGCAGGGGTGCAGTGTGTGTGTGTTTGTGTAAGAAGGACTGTGTGAGCAGTGTGTGTGTGTGAAAGTTGCAGTGTGTACGTGAGGATGGCAGTGTGTGTTAGGGGGGCAGTGTGTGTGTGTGCGTTGCAGTGTGAGTGGGGGGCAATGTGTGTATGGGGGGAAGTTTGTGTGTGGGGGGGCCAATGTGTGTGTAGGGTGTGTGTGTGTATTGGGGGCAGTGTATGTGGGCAATGTGTGTGTATGGGGGAAGTGTATGTGTGTGTATGGGGGCAGTGTTTGTGTGTGGGAGCAGTAGTGTATGTATGTATGTGTGGGCAGTGTATGTATGTGGGGCAATGTGTGTGTATGGGGGCAGTGTATGTATGTGGAGGCAGTGTGTGTATGTGGGGGCAGTGTGTGTGTATGGGGGCAGTGTATGTATGTGGGGGCAGTGTATGTGTGTGGGGGCAATGTGTGTATATTGGGGCAGTCTATGTATGTGGGGGCAATGTGTGTGTATGGGGGCAGTCTATGTATGTGGGGGCAGTGTATGTGTGTGGGGGCAATGTGTGTGTATGGGGGCAGTTTATGTATGTGGGGGCAATGTGTGTGTGTGGGGGCAGTGTATGTGTGTGTGTGTGATAAGGATGGAGGGCTTTTTTTAATGTTTTTTTTTTAATTTGATAAAATTATTTTATTTTTTTTAATTTAAAATATACATAATGTCCCCCCTCCCTTCTTACCTTTGTTTAGGGAGGAGGGGGGACATTTCTCGATCCCTGGTTGTCCGGTGGGGAATCCCTGGTGGTCCATGTGGTGAGAGTGAACTCTAGCCCCGGTCTCCAGGGCTAGAGTTCACTCTCACGAGTTCCGGAGCGTTGCCGTGGCAATTCTCCGTGCTCGCGAGAGAAGGACCTGGAGGAGCTGCAGACTGAGCTCCCCCAGGTCCGCTCTCTCTCCCTCCTCTGCCGGCGGCCAGCAAACAGTGTCTTCGGACCGGAGAGGGAGATCTCTGATCTCTCTAAAAATAGTAAAATCTTACTTGTATTCAAGCCTGAAGCTGTAACTCTGCATGCTGTTTGCCTCAAAAAAACAAGCTGTCTGCTGACATCATCAGAAGTGATGACCTGATCCAATCACAGTACTTCACCATAGGATTGGCTGAGACTGACAAGGAGGCAGATCAGGGGCAGAGCCAGCACAATTCAAACACAGCCCTGGCCAAACAGCATCTCTTCATAGAGATGAATTGAATCAATGAATGAGGAAAGTTCAGTGTCTGCATGCAGAGGGAGGAGAAACTGAATGTTTGGATGCATTTTAGGCAGCCATGACCCAGGAAGGATCTCTAACAGCCATCTAAGAAGTGGCCATTGAAGTTACCACAAGGCTGTACTGTAAACACTGCATTTTCTCTGAAAAGACAGTGTTTACAGCAAAAGGCCTGAAGGTAATGATTCTACTCACCAGAACAAATCCAATAAGCTGTAGTTTTTCTGGTGACTATAGTGTCCCTTTAATATATCACATTAACTCCCCCTTATTACCTTGCAGGGGGGAGGGAGCACATTGTTCCCTGGTGGTCCAGTGAGAGCAGGGCCAAACTGACACACAGCGAGATGATTCCTGGTGGTCCTTTGGTCCCGTTATTTGGTATGTACCTCCGCAGGGTACAAATATACAAGTATAGGGGGTGTAGAGTGTGCATAGGGCTATATAATGTATTTATAGGGAAAATAGAGTACTGTGTGTACAGAGTGTGTGCATCGGGGTGTGGTGTGTGTACAAGGGGTATAGCGTGTATAAGTGCAAAGAGTGTAGTGTATGTTTAGGGGGTATAGAGTTTGTGTACTGTGTGTATATAAGGGGGTGTAGTGAGTGTATATAAGGTGGTGTAGGGTGTGTAAATAAGGGGGTGTAGTTTGTGTATGTAAGGGGGTGTAGTTTGTGTATATAAGTGGGTGTAGTGAGTGTATATGAGGGTGTTAGGGTGTGTATATAATGGGGAGTAAGAGGTGTGTAGGGGGTGTGTATATAAGGCGGTGTAGGGTGTCTATATAAGGGGGTGTAGTGACTTTCAATGCTTTTTTCAAGATCATTTATAAACATGTTAAATAGAAGGGGTCCCAGAACAGAACCCTGGGGGACACCACTTGCCACCTCTGTCCAGCTTGAAAATTTACCATTAGTGACAACTCTATGTACTCTATTTTACTCTATTGTATTAGTGACAACTCTATTGTACTCTATAAGTTCTACCCAAGAACAAGCATTTCATCTAGACCGATTACTTTGAGTTTGAACACTAATCTATTGTGTGGAAGTGTATCAAATGCCTTGGCAAAATCCAAATAGATCACATCCACTGCAACACCCTGATCAATACTTCTACTTACTCCTTCGTAGAATGCAATCAAGTTAGTTTGACATGACCTGTGCTTCATAAAACCATGCTGATTTTTGCTGATGTTCTTCTCAAGGAATTCTTGAATATTTTTTCCCTTAATAACCTTTCAAATACTTTTCCAGCCACAGAAGCAAAGCATGACAGGGACCTACACAATATTAGGCAAGTGGTTTTAATGGTGTGGCTGATCAGTGTTTATCACAGTCCCTTATTTTGTGACACTAGGTGGCACTAATGTACCTTTTTGATTCTTTTTACGTTAATCGTGTACTATTACAATCTATAATTCTGTGCTTTTGTTTTATTCATTTCTACTTTCATCTGGATTATGAAACGTATAAAATCATTCAGAAAAACAGACTACAAAAGGCATAAGGATGTACAATATATTATAAACATGTTTAAAGGAGCAGACTGCCGGAGAGCATGGACAGTGTACACAGATATTTAAAGCTCAATATTCCGAACAGGCCTGCATCCGCACATAACAAATTGAAGGTCTTTTTATCTCTTACAAATTGTGAGTGGCCATTTGACACAAATTCCAAATGATTTAAACATACAGTTTTGCACTGTTGTGCCATTTCTTCCATGACAGGATATCCCCTATTTGTGTACATTGATAATTGTTGAAGATTCTGCTGAGGAAATCTTTGGGATTGTTCATCCTTGAAGGGAAGTTTATTCATTTATTTTGTCTGTGTATTCACTATATTAATCACACTTTAATCACTTTATTCAATTGTGAAAGGCACTGTTTTATAATACATATTATAAACATATGAAGATCAGCAACTTCAATATACCGTATTTATCGGCGTATAACACGCACTTTTTCTCCCTGAAAATAGGGGGCAAATTATGGGTGCGTGTTATATGCCGGACCTTTAAATGCTGCAGCCGGAGTTTCTGTTTCCTGTACCCGGTCGGACTGACAGGAAGGTGCACACTGAGCGTGCACCTTCCTATCACTCCGGCCGGGCACCGCGGACAGCAGAGCAGCTCGGCCACGCTACAGGGGAGGGGGTAAAAAGAGAGTGGGGGGGATAAAAAGAGAGTGGGGGGTAAAAAGAATGGGGAGAAGTAGAAAGAGGAGGGGAGTAAAAGAGGGGGGGGGAAGTAGAAGAGGGAGGGGAATTAGAAGAGGAGGAGTAAGAAGGGAGGAAAGGGGAGTAAGAGAGGAAGAAGTGAGTAAGGGGAGTAGAGGGGAGGGAGTAGAGAGGGTAGAGGGGAGGGAAAGAGAGGGGGAGGGGGGAGTAAGAAAGGGGGTAAGAAGAGGGGGAGGGGGGAGTAAGAAAGGGGGGTAAGAAGAGGGGGAAGGGGGAGTAAGAAGGGGGTAAGAAGTTCTTTATTTGAAATTTAAGTTTTTTTTTCCTGAAATTTCCTTCTTAAAATGAGGTGCGTGTTATACACCGGTGCGTGTTATACGCCGATAAATACGGTAATAATTGACAGATTTGTGTGAGCAGAAGAAAAAAAATAGACATTAAAAAGAACAAATAATAGAAAACAGAAATAGATTACACAAATATCACATTGAACTAATATTCCATAAAGACAAAA